AGAGAAAAGACTAGATCAACTAAGGTTGAACCATGGCCCACGAGCCTTGTTGGAGATCCAAGCTAATACATCATCGAAGTGAATAGGTGAGCTAGTGAGGAGAGGTTGGGTGAGGAAAGAAGGATGAGGAAGAAGAAGGAATGGGGAGGGCAAATTAAATTTTTTTTTTTTTTATGAATCAAAAGATTTATTATGATAATAAAGAGTACAAGAAGTATTCCACCCATAGTCTCAAAAATACATTATAAGGTAACACCAATAAAGGCACTCCAAGCCAAATTAGGATTGAAAGCATAAGCATCAAAACTAACTTCTAGTAATTTCTTGATCACATGAACTAGGGGAATTGCACCAGTAGAAGAAGGGAAACATAGTGTTAGTAGACTTCCCCCTTATCCATACAAAGGTCATTCTTTGAATTAGATCAAAAGTCCTACCCTCATCCCATTGTTGTTCTTTATGGATAATAAAGTTCCTCATATACCATATGGCCCATGTAACCATCAAGAATATGAGAAACCAAACATCGAATTTTACCACCTTTTTGATTCCTACGCTGTGAGCTTCACATAGAAGAGAAATGGAGTTGGGAAGGGGTAGGGAAATCCCCCACCAATTGTAGCATCTCATCCATAGATTCTGTATCTTCAGGCATTGAACAAACAAGTGATTTTCATCTTCAAGGTCCCGTCTACATATGCAACAAATAGTTTCTGCTTCATCTATCTTGACGCCTCTCCTTAGAAGACCAGCTTTTGTTGGAAGGCCACTAAGAAAGAGACGCCACTCGAAACAGTTGATTTTGGTTGGTACCAGTTTGTTCCAAAGCCTTTTGCAAATTCTTCTTTCCAAAATTCTATTCTGCCCAGCCAGCATTGCATAAGCCTTGCTAACAGTGTAACCATTTGTAGCATCAAAACTCCAACTTCTTTGGTCTGGTTGGGTAGAGAACACAAGCCCACCCATTAGGCTTTCCTTTAGCATTTGTTCTTTGTTCCTTTCCCTGCCAAAAGGTTCATGTCTCTAAGAATTTCTCCAAGTCCAGAATCCATTAGAAAATTGTCCCATATCCATAACATTAGCAGTCCTATTAGATGCTAAATTAAATAATCGAGGATAAGTGACGTTCAAAGGTTCTGTTCCTACCCACTTATCATATCATAATTTAATTTTGTCACCCATCCCCAACTTCCAACAAAATCCTTCCCTAAATATCTTTGAACCTTTACCCCCCTCATTACCTAAGTCCACAATGTTCCTCCACAAGGTAGGTAAATTCCTAACTTGAATTTGTTTAACATCCCACACTATACCCCCACCGTAATATTTATCGGATATAACTTTCTTCCATAAGCTATTCTCCTTGTTCCCAAATCTATCCCACCACTTCCCTAATAAAGCTACGTTCCTACACTCAAGGTCTGGTACACCTAAGCCTCCTTCTTTTCTCCTCCTACACACTTTATCCCAACTCAACAATGCTAACCTACTCTTCTCCTCCGTGTATCCCCACAAAAATTTCCTTTTTAAGCAAACAAGTTCATGGAGTACAATTTTAAGAATTTTAAAAACGAACATAAAGTAGATAGGGAAGGTAGAAAGTACGGACCTTAGCAGCGTAACTTGGCCACCGATCGACAGGCATTTCGCTTTCCAAATTGCCGACTTTTTATTAAAATTCTCAATAACTGGAATCCAGGCTTTCCTTCTACCTATAGCATCCCCAACTAGCATCTCAAGGTAGGTGAAAGGGATGGAGCCTGATTTACAATTAAGAGAAGCAACCACCATTCTTCCCCACTCATTAGAAACGTTGAATGAATACGGCACACTTTTGTTGAAGTTGATTTTCAAACTCGACACCAGCTCAAACCATCTCAAAATCCCTTCACAACTTTAATATTTCTAAGATGTACCTTCCCCCTAATAACAGTGTCATCAGCAAATTGGAGGTGGGATATGTTAAGACCAAAAAGGCCTATGTCAACTCCCTAGAATAGTTCCTTGCTTATGGCTGATTTCATCAATACATTTAAGCCTTCCAGAATAATTAAGAAGAGGAATGGAGCTATCGAATCACCTTATCTTATCCCCCTCTCCATTTTGAACTCGTCAGTTGGACTTCCATTAACAAAGACTGACACAGAAGTAGTTTGCAAACACTCCTTTATCCATGTTCTCCATTTTTCACCTAATCCAAGCCTCCACATCATTTCATCTAAGAAATCCCAATTCACACAGTCATACGCTTTTTCAAAATCTGCTTTAAAAATGAAGCTGCTTACCTTTTTCTTCTTGATCTCCTTTACCACTTCGTTCAAAATCAAGATTCCATCAGTGATTTGTCTTCCTCCCAAAAATGCAGATTGTGTCTCAATAATCACCTTAGATAGAACTTTCTTAATCCTGTTAGCCAACACCTTCGATATTATTTTATAAAGACTATTAATCAAGCTGATGGGTCTATAGTCTTTTAAGTCAACAGGATTGTCTTTTTTTGAAATATTCACGCACCTCTTGCTTCACTCCATTGGGTTCTTCCATCTATGAGCCATTTTTATAAATGCTGCAACTCAATTTTCTTGTCCTGTTACCACTAGAAATTCTATGACATAGTTTAGAATAATTAGCATCTCCTTATTGGACCCAATCAAGCTTAATTTTCTGTTTCCATGCCACTTCTCTTCTTTTCCATGCTGCCCATAATTCACTGAAGCCTTCCCTTCTAGACAAGATATCCTCCTTTGATACTTCGTTGTCCTCATTCTTACTATTAACTTCTTTAATTTTAGCTTCTGCATCTACAATTTGATGCTCAAAGTTGCCAAAGACTTCAAAATTCCATTTCTTTAGGTTATTCCTCAATTGTTTAAATTTCTCTTTGCATACATATCCCCTTCATCCTCTAACCTCTATAGTTTTCTAGATATTCTCAACTGTACCGATGAAATCTGGATGCTGATCCCAACAATTCAAAACTCTAAATGGCTTTGGGTCCCAATCACTGTTAACCTTCTTTAGTATCACCGGACAATGATCTGAAATGGATCTGTTTAATCCAACTTGACAACAGTCACCCCAAAAATTAAGGAGATCATCAGAAATAAGAAATCTATCCAATCTACTCATTGCTAATCCATCGCTCTTATACCAAGTGAACTTCCTTCTTGTTAGTGGCAAATCATTCAATGCAGCACTTTCCATGAAGTCATTAAGATCCTCCCTGTAGTGAGAATGCTCAGATCTTCCTCTTCTCTCCTCCTCTGATCTCACATTGTTGAAGTCTCTAGCTATACACCAAAAGCCTTCCCCTTCCTTAATCATCTTCTATAATTCTGCCCATGTTTCCAATCTTTCATTCTTATTACACGATGCATACACATTCACAATGCAACACTTTTGCTTCTTTACTCCACACATACCATAAATTGCCAAAGCACCGAGTATTTCAACAACTGTTTCTTTAACAAATACATCGTTGTCCCACACACATAGCAGACCTCTTGATCTACCCATTGAAGCCTTATATACCCAATCAAAATTTCCATGCCCCCAAATAGACAGACAAAATTCCTGGTCAATCATTTCCATTTTAGTTTCTTGAAAGTAAGCAAAATTAATTTCCTCTTTTCTCACCATACTTCTCACGGCTTTTCTTTTTACAACACTGTTGAACCCTCTCACATTATAAGATAGCAACTTCATTTATAGTAATTTTTGAGAAATGATAGAAAATCCTATCTTAATGGCTCACAAACATACCCCTGCATGTCCCTTTCTTCCATTCGCCTGAGTCTTTCCAAAATCTGCTCTTCTCAGTTTTTTATCTCGATCCCTAGCTTGCCCCCAAAATCCAGCACCTTCTTCGCTTCCTCTGTAATCATGCCTTCTTTGATTCTCCTGTTATTGTATATAATATCACTGTTCGATAAAGAACCAACTGGCGATTCACCACCAAAGTTAACTATTTGGATCATTGCTTTTCTTCTTTTTCCATGTTTTGTACCAGTTACCAGTTTTGTTAAATCTGTCCTGACTTTTGCTGGTAAAGAGGGGCTCTTGTTAGGCTTTTTAGTCCCTTAAAGCCCACCATTCTCTTGGAAATCCATTTCTGTTTTGTCTTTCACCAAATGGGCTTCATTTTTGTTGTCATTTGGGCTTCTAGATTGGGTCGTTTCTTGGACTACCTGCACATCAAAAGCTAGAGCTATAATGAAACTGATATGCTTCCCATTTGCTTACTCACTTTCCCGCTCCTCTCTCTGTTTCCCACTCTCTTGATTTGACAGAGTGCCATTGTTTACCTTGCCCATTTCAACAAG